TGTTGCTGCTGCTGCTGCTGTTGCTGTCGTTGGTTATACTATCGCTGCTACTGCCGCAGCAGCGTGCCCGCCGNTGGGTGCTTAGGTGTAGATGGTTTGTAAGGGTTTTGGTTGTTATATGATTATGTTTTGTTTATATAAAAAGAAAATAAAAAAAGAAAAAAGAAAAAGGCTTAGAGAGAATCTATAAACCCTAAACCCTAAACCCTAAACACTATGGCTGTAACTTAGTCACGAGCTCACAAACCCTAAACCCTAAACCCTAAACCCTAAACCCTAAACCCTAGAGAAATAGATAGAGAAGGGGACCTGAGTGCTATCTAGACACGCCTAGCTCTGCATGCACTAAACCCTCCAGCCCCAGTACTAAACCCTAAACCCTAAACCCTAAACCCTAAACCCTAGACAAGGAGTGGTGGCCTACAAGCCTGGGGGCCACTGAACCAGAGCAAGTCCCTGTCTGTCTAGCAGGAAGCAAAAGCTGCGGCTGCGCTGGCAGCAGCAGCAGCAGCAGCAGCAACCTGCTGCAGCAGCACCGCATGCAAGCAGCAGAGCCTCGGGGTGTATATGCAGCGCAACAGCCAGCCGCTCCTGCGAAGCCCCACTGAACAGCTCCAATATACCTAATGACACAGCAGCAGCAGCAGCAGCAGCAGCAGCAGCAGCAGAAGCAGCAGCAGCAGCAGCAGCAGAAACAGCACACCAATATGTATCAGCAACGGCAATAACGCCCCAATCTGCTGCAGCAGCAGCAGCAACAGCAGCAGCAGAGCCACCTCATTTGCTGCTCCTGCCTATGTAGAAGCAGCAGACACGACAGCTGCACTACAGGCTTGTGTATATACCCTAGGGGCCCCCCTAAGACCTTCCTAGGGGCCCCCTGGGGGCCCCCCTAGTGGTTGTCTAGGGCCCCCCGCAGAGGCCCCTCTGATGGCTTCTCAGGGGCCCCCTGGGCCCCCCCCTAGTGGGTTCATAAGGGCCCCCTGGGGGGCCCCCATACTAGTTTCTTAGGGGCCCCCAGGGGGCCCCTGTGTCCCCTGGGGGCCCCTGGAACCCCGGGGGGCCCCTGAGACCCCTGGGGGCCCCTGGGACCCCTGGGGGCCCCTGGGACCCTTGGGGGCCCCTGGGACCCTTGGGGGCCCCTGAGACCCCTGGGGGCCCCTGAGACCCCTGGGGGCCCCGGGGACCCCTGGGGGCCCGTCGGACCCCTGGGGGCCCCTGAGACCCCTGGGGGCCCCTGAGACCCCTGGGGGCCCCTACGGACTCTGGGGGCCCCTGGGGGCCCTCCGGGTGTCTTTGGAGTGGTGTGTGTGTGTGTGTGTACCTCGTTTGGGAGCGAAGACGAGGAGGCCCCCTGTGGGGCTGTGTGTTTGTGGGTGCGCATGCGCTGCATGCGCTGCATGCGGTGCATGCGTTGCATGCGCTGCATGCAGTGCAGCAGCAGAGGTGCCTATACACCCCAGCTGGGGCTTTTGCAGCCACACGAGAAAGGCCTTGCGGTAGGCCTTCAGCAGCCACAGCGGCAGCAGAGAGGAGACACAGAGAACGCTCACCTGATAGACAGCAGCAGCAGCAAAAGGAGACAGTATATATACACACTTATATACATGAATATACATTCCTCTCCTGCTGCTGCTGCTGCTGCTGCTGCAGATGCTCCTGCTGCTGCTGCTGCAGCTGCTGCAGCTGCTGCAGCACCGAATCCAGCTCGCTACAAAAACACTATAGCAGCAGCAGAAGCCCAGCACAACAGCTGCAGCAGCAGCAGCAACGCAGCAAGAACAGCAGCAAAAGCAGCACCAACAGCAGCAGCAGCAATCACTGCAGCAGCAACAGCATCCAAAATAAACAGCAGCAGCTGCAGCAGCAACAACAGCTCAGCAGCAGCACGACCAACAAAACCAGCAGCAGCACCACCCCCCAACCACAACCGTCAGCAGCGGCGACCGCATCAAAACCACCAGCAGCAGCAGCAGCAGCCGCAGCAGCAGCAGCAGCAGCAGCAGCAGCAGCAGCACTCACTCTGCCTAGCGAGTCGCTCAGAGCAGCAACTGTTGGGTCCCAGGGGCACAGCCGCAGCCCCAGGGCCCCCCGCTGCCTGTCTATCCACCCCACCTGCAGCAGAGGGGCCTCCACTGCAGCGCAGCAGCAGCAGCAGCAGCAGCAGCAACAACAACAACAACAACAACAGCTGCAGCAAGGCCCTGACCACTGTCGACCGGCAAAAGCAGCAATAGCGGCAGCAGCAGCAGCCGCAGCAGCAAAAGCAGCAGCAAAAGCAGCAGCAAAAGCAGCAGCAAAAGCAGCAGCAGCAGCAAAGGCAGCAGCAGCAGCAACAGCAGCAGCAGCAGCAAAAGCAGCAGCAACCACAGTTAAAACGCACTTATCGGGGGTTCCTCCACATCGCTGGGGCTTACAGAATCCTGCTGCTGCTGCTGCTGCTGCTGCTGCTGCTGCTGCTGCTGCTGCCTAGGACTGTTTCTAAGGAAGCTGAAGGCCCCCCTAGCAGCAACAGCAGCAGCAGCAGCAAGCTTGCCTGCAGCAGCAGCAGCAGAAACAGCAAAGAAAGTAAAACGCGGTGTATCCTGTGTCTCCTTCAGGGGGAGACAGTGAAGAGACAGCAGCGGATCCGCCCCAGCAGCAAGCAGCAGCAGCTGCTGCTCCTGCTGCTGCCGCTGCTGCTGCTTCTGCTGCTTCTGCTGCTGCTGCTGCTGCTCGCTGCTGATACTAGACGAGCGGCGCCGCTGCTGGGGGGCCCCCAAGGAGGGGGGCCCCCTCCTCCTGAGACCTGTTGGTTTGTCTCCTGCTGCTGCTGCTGCTGCAGATGCCTGCTGCTGCTGCTGCTGCTGCTGCTGCTGTTCCGTTGGCTCCTGCAGCTGCTGCAGCAGCTCACGCAGCGCGCCGCGG